ATAAAGTTTGAGACCTTTTAAAATTTCTTCACTATCCCTGACCGATGCTTCACACAATAACAAACTATCATCAGCAAAAAGCAGGTGGTGAATAGAAGGGCTACCCGACGCTAATTTTATACCATGTAAAGTCCCTTTTTCTTCAGACCTGTTTAGTACATGGACTAAAGCTTCAGCACATAAAATGAAAAGAAAAGGTTTAGGGTTTATTAATGATTTTGACGAATTAGCCAAACAATATAATTGGTAGAGTGATTATTAGCTATATCATCAGAGTTGTGTTTGTTGCATGTGTTCTAGATTAGATACTTAGACCTTGATATTAGGATATTGAGAATTGGGTGATTGCATGATCTGTACTTGAAATATCTTTGATGGACACTAAGGATAATCGAGAGAATAATCAAGTAATCATAAGTGAACCTATCGAATCTGATCGTTTAAGGGTTGACTAAGAAACTCATCGATCGATGGTATTCGCATAACATCGATCGGTGGTCATTCAAATTTTACATACGAAATTTATGAACTCTGAGCTCAGCCATAAGATAGATATACTCATTAATATCTTGATATATAAAATTCGTGTTTATGATTGAAAATCTTTACCGTCAATACATTTTAATTCACTACCTGAAAACACTAGATGTAGATATTTTCCTTAATTGTTTATAAACCACTATCTCCTTATTTAACAATATCAAGTTTTATAAATTGTCTAACATAACTAAGTTGATTATCAAATCTCTTGTGTGCTCTCGCTCTCTGTGGCCTAACAGCTAAACCTCTTATTTTAGAGAGTAATTCATAGTTCTAGGATAATTTGAGCATGTATCATGTGTCCTTAAATGATTTTTCTATCTCCATCCGTTTCATTTACCTTATATTCAACTCTAGTCGATTGAAGATATACTCAAAACTTTGATGACCCGCAAACACATGAATACTTATTCCATACAATATGACTGCCATACTTTTAGAAAAGTACTACCACTGCCAACTTCTAGTCATGGTTAAAATAAATGTCTCATTCTTGGTGTTTACTATAACATAGTGATTCCAAGCGCTACTCTGCTTCGAGTTTGTAAGTCAACTTTATCAGCTGCTTCATTTCTCTTTGTGCACTCATCACATAGGTCAAGACATTCATAACATTACATTTAACCCTTTTACTTCCTAGCAGTCAAGATAAATGAGCGATAAAATATTCTTGAACATCATGACACATCTGAGTCTAACCTTAGACATACCCTCACTTAAGCATTCCTAATGGGATTGTGCTATCACCGACACACTCTTCATGAACCGAAAACTTTCCTTGCACTATGTTGTTCACCATATTTTACATTCCTTACCGTCCACTAATTACATGGTTCCACCGACTTGCATAGCCTTTTATTAATTGTGATTCTTACAACCAATCCGACAAATTTTATGATCTCGTTCGATTCTTCATCCTTAGCCAACTGCAATGGTCATGAAATTTTCATGATTTGTCCGACTTTTCCCCAGACACGGATAGACCATGAACCCAATTCATGTTTTCTGATAATTTCACTTGTTTAACTTCCTTAAGGAGTGATTTTACTCTCTCAAATAAGAAGGTCAGATGTAGTACTTAGGAATCAAATCTATAAGTAGCGTGGACACACAATAGACTAGAGATATTAAGATTAAGCTATACAGTAAATAAGTAAAGCAGTTTTGATTGAGGTTGTAAACAATAAGGAAGAAATGCTAGACTTAGGGATCTATCAATCAAGAGATTCAAAACTGTAATTTAAGAATGCTAAGAGCTTTATGGATTCGATTCTAGAACTCGAATTTAATAGTAAGTAATCTAGGTTTGAATGCAATTCCTAATCAGATGTTTGAATCCTATGTTCCACCTCTCGCGTGCGAACAAGGAGTAAGCATCGATTGATGGTATGGCCTGACCGTCGATCAATGCTTCTCCAGACAAGCATTAACGTTCTAATTGATTATGTTCAACTAAACACTATACCAATTATCGTATGCACATACGTTTCTAATCTAGTAGGGTTCG